GTATTCTGTCGTGCTCATCAATCCAACTTTGGGTAATCAAATGTTTTTTCTTTCTTTTCCGACTTCTTTAGCAATCTCACGATGACCTACTATCTTAGGCTATCTACAAATAGTCAGCATTCATCATAGAAGCAAAACAGTCTGACTGTGGCAATCTCCTCTCACCAGCAGCAGCAGTCAAATCTCATAGTAGTTAGCAGAATAGAGTAAGCGTACCAAACAACGTCTGGTAGGGGGTTGGAGAGGTTGGAGAGAGGTGGGGGAGGGGAAGGTGGATGGAGGAGGTGGGGGAGGTGGGCTAGGTGGTGAGGAGGTGCGGGAGGTGCGGGAGGTGCGGGAGGTGCGGGAGGTGCGGGAGGAGGGGGAGGGGGAGGGGGAGGGAGCAGGAAAGTAATGTGCCTATCACATGGTCAATTGTCTCATGGTTTCTCTCTTTCTTCTTCTTTCCTTTTTCCATCTGATAGTGAATTGAATATCTCGTTAAGAAAAAAAGAGAAATATCCTCTTTTTTTTTTTTTTTTTAAACAACTCAGGCTCCAATCTATTCGTGGGGAGCATCACGTGCTGAGAACCGGGCTCAGCGTCCCTTATTAAGAGAAAAAAGAAACCCGGACCTGCTGGAAAACGGGTCCAGCGTCCCATGTCATTAACTATAAAGTAGTATAAACTGAAACTAAAACCGGGGGTCTACCTCTTCCTCCATTTTGCCGTATGCCAGATCCTACTCAGAAAAACTAGCAGCCTTTGTCTCCGTTCCTTATTTAACCCATGACCTGGCACGGATAACCACTGGGGGGCACCATTGGGTCCTCCTTCCGTCTCCTCGCCCGCCCCCAAATTTTCCTAGCTCTGTGCTATGTGCTATCCTCCTCGTTCTAAAAGCTCATGCGGAATATTTTTCAAAACGTTTAATGCCGAGAACTGGACTCAGTATCGGGTAAAGGGTGTTGACTCTATTGAGAAATTTATGAGCAGCATTCAGGCTGAGAAAATCCCCTTTGCAGCAAGATTCCGAGAAAGAACAGTAGTAGCATCTAAATGAGCAAAGGTAGTAGCAGGAGCTGGATCAGTTAAATCATCTGCAGGTACATAAACTGCTTGAATAGAGGTAATAGAGCCTTCTTTCGTCGAAGTAATTCTTTCTTGAAGAGTGCCCATTTCTGTACTTAAAGTAGGGAGAGTCGTGCCCAACGTCCTAGCTACTCAGACATTGTAATAAGACCTTACCTGTTTGAATGCTTGAAAGCACGAGAGAACAATCCTGAGCAGTCCTGAGCAAACCTGGGTAAAGGCTTGAGAGATCATGAGGGCAATATTCAGGCTGAGCGAAACAGCAGTGGCGGGGACCAGCCCCAGCATCCCCTGTCCTGTTCTAGCTGCTGAGAAAGCTGCAGAACCAGGAACCGGATCTAAGATCCTGCCTTTCCGTAGACAAAACGCAGGGGATGTCACAATCGTATTTCCAAGGATCGTGGGCGGGGAGGAGGGGAACGGGTCATTGTGACAAGAACATTTTCTGCTGGTACAAAGGTGAACACACACTGCTGCTACCGTCTTCACCCGAATAGAACACCCGGTCATTATCGCTGTATATAGACTGAAAGTTGCACCAAATACGGCTATAATGACCAGGCGTTCTATCCGGGTGAAGACGGTAGTTTGAAGTTCATATGTATTCTCATAAGGCATTGGTCTGTCTTTTATAATTAGTAGTAGCTCCATGTAGACTCTCTGAGGATCCTAGACAGACATATGTTGGTTTCCTGCGGATTGCCATGTAATTGAATTGACGTACTATTAATAGTTAATTAATTAGGGGGGGAGAGAGACAGACAGATGCCGAGAGAGAGAGAGAGAGAGAGAGAGAGAGAGAAAGTTCAAAGGATGCTGTTTGACAGTCCATTAAACAACCCTTAAAAGTAAGTTTCAAATCCATGTAAACCACCAGCACTAGCGACTTTATTCCCGGGGCTCAAAGCGCCCTGTGCGCCAAAAAACATGAATGGGCGCGGGCCTCCTTTTGGCTGGCACTGCCAACCATTTGCTCAGCAGCCTACCGCTGAAAGTTGCATTGTGCATGTGTCCGCGTCAAAGGATAGCGGCTGTGAAACGTACTGGTGGTTTAAGCCACCAGTCCCTCAGAGCCTCTTTTTTCCTATGTTACCTGATCGGATGTCCAGGACTGCCCTGACCGTCCGGGATGTCCGCCCGGACAACCGGGCCAAAAGTCCGACTGGAGCCCTCTGTCCAAACCTACATAAAAATATCTAAATATTTTTATTGTTTTTTTTCTGAATTTTTTCTGCGGATTCGTCTGCAGATAAAGCATATGCGCGTAAATTTTTGCGGCATTTTGATAGGTAGGAAAAAAAAAACTAAAAATTGACAAAGATGGCGGTGTAAAAAATATGCTCTCTCTATTTCGTTTTTTGAAGTTTTTCTGTTTTTCTTTTCCCTGTTTCTTTTTGTTTTAGGGCTGTTTTTTTTCCAAAACAAATTCTTGTGGGTTCTTTGAGAAGTGAGGTGTACCCTTATAAGTTTTCAGT